ACTAAAAAATAAAGATAACCTAATATTTTTAAAATTATAAGAATTGAAAATAATGAAAAAACTGTAGGAACTAAAAAAATAAAAATTTAATAAAATTATAGACTTTGATAATTGTCTTTTCTTTTTTTTTAATTTTATTCCCCTTTAATTGTGCCGACATATTGACAAACTTTTAATTGGCAAGCACAATTTACTTTATTCATTAATTTCAATGAAAGGTAAAATTAAAATAATATTTTTTACAAATTTCAAATATTAACTATTAATTAATATTTTTTAAGAATTATTAAGTGAATTAACTTTTTTTTTATATATATGTAATGAGAATTAGAAGAGTCCAATTTTTTTGGTTGGCTTGAGTGGGTACATAGATAGTAGAGTACTATTTGGCACTTTACATCCAAGTGCGTGCCTTTTTAGTTTTTTCTCTAAAATTTAAAATAATATAGAAAAAGAAAAAGAAAAAAACAGAGAGAGAGAGAGATATTAAATGAGGAGAGTGGGGGGCAGCTAGGAGTTGATGGGAATAGCGGCGCACATGACGAGGATTGGCAATGCCTCGAGCCCTTCAAACATGACCAGCCACACCCTTTTGTGGGTCCCACCACCATGCGCTCACTTTTCTCCAACGCTCACTATCACACTCCCTCCACCAGTCCTCCACGTGTCCTCCCCCTTCCCCTCTTCCCCCTCCGCCCCTCCTGCCATTTTCTGTCGAAGGCTCCAAAGCTAGCCGAGCCTGTTTTACTCTGAAATTAGTTATGGTTGTGATGTTGATTTAGGTTATACTCCTTTTATCTAAAAATATAAAACATTTTTTAAAAATTAAATATTAAAATTATTTTTAAAAATTAAATATTAAAAAATATAAAATATTTTTAATTTTTTAAAATATTATTATTATTATTTTTAAAAATACTCCTATTAATAATAACTTATATTTATTAAAGAGTGTTTAATAGAGATAAATATAAAAAGATAGGATTAGTTTAAAAGTAACTAATAATTTTATTAAGGGATGAATTCGTTTAAAAATATTTTATATTTTTAAATAAAGAAAATAATTAATTTTTAAAAAACTATACATATTTATGTACATTAAATATACATATTTTTTTATTATTTTAGATTTTATCCAGAATCAAACTTGTAAGGTAATCAAATTATTTATAACTTAAAAGTATAATGACTTTGTTGTTTGTTATTTTCTTTTCAAATCAACAAACAAAAATTCATGTTAAATGTGTCAAAAATTAAATAATTTAAAAAAACGTGCACAATCTACTAGTCCAGTGAAATAGATAGAGAAAAATTAAAAAAAGTTTGAAATTCTAAAAAAATTCTCTTTTCATTTGAATTATTTTCATAAATATTATATTTTATTTGGTATAGCTTGATATATAAAGAAACTACATTTTAATTGTAAAATATTGAATAAAAATAAGAAGGTTTAATTAAGTGATTTTTATGAACATTATTAAATATAAATAATAATAAGCACTATACGTTAAAAGCACTTTTCATGAAAGAATTAATTCTGATCTATTTTATTTTTGTTTATTTTATAATAAAAATTATTTATTTTTTAAAATATTATTTTATGAGTTTTTATTATGTTTGTTTAAACTTTTAAAAATAATTAAAATTTAAAAATATTTAACTATTTTAAGAAGCCACTTTGAATAGCCCCAAAAGTAATTCAATGAGAGTGCTTAAAGAGGCAGAATACATGAAGATATTATAAAATTTTAAATAATATAATAATAAATTTTAAAAAAAAACATGAAAAATATCATAAAATTTAAAAATAACTAACTGATAATCACTATTTGATTATTATAACTAAACATAAAATAATTTTTATTTTTTATAAAATCTCTATAAAATAAATTTTTTTATAAAATTTTTAAATCACTTAAAAATCACTTGATTTTTAACTTTAAACAAATGTGCCCTTTGTTTATCAGATTTGTTTTTTAAAAAATTATAAGAGAGATAGAAAGGTATATATATATATATATATTGATATAGTTATCTAATTAGATTAAATTTAAATATTATCAAATTTAATTGTAAGTAATCATTAAAGATTTTTTTTTTTTTTTGCTTTCATATGGATTAGAATTAGAGAGATTTCATATTTAAAGGATCATAATCCGCTGTACTAGCACCAATAATAGTGGTGCAACAAATGAATGGAATAGTGGGTGGGGTGTTGGGAGGCAGGACATGTGGTTGGGCTGAAATTGGGCCCAAGAGATGAGAGCTTAGATAAAGTGATGTCGTTTCAAGGATGTGTTGCGTGCAATGCATTAATGAGAGAGGGCTATGGTTCTCCCTATAGAGTGGTCCTCTTCCTATCTCTAAATCCATAATATATCCAAAAAGCCTGGGCTGAGTCACTGCCCTACAGCCTCCCCTATCCGCCCCCTACCCTACTCTCTCTCTCTTCTCCCTCCCTCCCTCGCTCTCTCTCTCTCATTGTGATTGGTTACGATTATAGTACTTCGTTTTCATGCACTTGGTTATCATCTTAGGACTTAGCTCTTGTCCTTTGGTCTATTACTCTATTCAGTCTTAACATGGCAGAACATGTTTCAATTTCAATTTAGTGGTTATCTAACCTTCACTCTTCCCCCAGCCAAGAGCTCTTCTTCTTGTTTTTTTAAATAAAAATATGTTTGTTGGAGTATAGAATGTTGGGCCCCATGTGATGTGATGGCCCATTATGCTTTGGATGCCCCATTTAATCTCAATGAAAATTTGGCTCTTCTCAATCCTATTCTTTATAAAAGTCAACACTTATCATCCAACGAAAATATTTAAAAAAAACATTGTCTTTTTATTTTTATAATTTTATCAAATTTTAATTTTAATATTTTTAATTTTTATAAAGATTAAAATATTTATAAATAAAAATTATAGAAATTTAAAAAATAAAATTCATTCAATCTTTTTAAAACTATAGAAATTAAAAATATTAAAAAATTATAGAGATTAAAAATAAAATTATAGGGATCAATTATTATATATTTTTAAATATTTACTATTTTCTAACATTAAATCATGTTGTGTTTGAAGTCAGAGCTCTGGCTAGTCTGGATTAAGTTGGATTGGGATCTTTTCCAATGGAAGCTCTATCACCAAATGCTATTGCATTATCAAAAATTAAATTTGAGAGTTCTAATTAATTTGGTACAACTTCCTACCGGTTTTATGAAGTGCATGTTAATCATAATATTACAATTTTAATACTAAATAACTCTTACAGTTCAAAATAGTATATTTTCTTTTCTTTTCTTTTTTGATACAATGGTATATTTTCTTTAGTGATGGATCCTTTTATTTTTTGTTATGATAGATTTAAAGGTTTTCTAGACTTTTTTTTTTTTGGTGAAAAAGTTTTCTAGACTTTTAATATATCTTAATGTTAAACTTCTTAGTTGATGCCCTCTTCTTTTTCCTAAAGGATAAGACTTATATATATAACTTTATATAGTTAATATATTTATATCAAATTAAATTATGACAAGTGGATCCCAATGTATTAATTAAATTAATAACAATAATTTATTACAGAATAAAGAATATAAAAAAGATTCACATGTCTTAATTTTTAATTAAAAACATACACATTAAGTACATAAGTTAAAGTATATAAACTTTCTCCTTTCCTAAAACATAGTGTTTGTTTGCTCTTGTATTTCCAGCTCAATATTCTTTTGCTGCCGAGGAATTCAACACAATTATTTTTTTCAAGTCTATTTGAAGGAAAGGGGAAAAAAAACTAATTTGATTAATAAAAGTTCTGGATTGCTAACCCAAACAATAACAAATACATCTAAACAAATATCAACAAAAACAAGATCTAGGTAATGATTTGGCTTGGAAACTTCTGCTGTCCTCTAATGGAAAATGAGTTTTGAAATTTTTCCTACAAAACCAATATCATATGTTTTAGAAGTGTGGATACCGGTAAACACAAAGTCAATCATTAAACTAACGTGACCAAAAAGGAACTTTTAGGGAGATTCTAATCAAACCATTAGATTAAAACCTAGTATTAGTTAGCATTTTAGAATTGATGCACATGCCATCCAAAAGCTAACATTTGATTCTCAATACCTCTTAGTGGATTTTTTTTATATAGCAGAGATGCTACTTGTCCTCCACTAAAATTGTTTCACTTTGTGTAGTTTTGTTCTTCCACCATTAAAAGAGGATTTATGAAGTTGGGAGACCACCTTTTAAATAATCTTGACATAAAAATAATGCATCCGCCCACAAATTCTGATTATTTATGGCTATTTTTTCTAAATATTTTCTTTTGCACTAAAAAAAATAAAATTAAATCTTACAAAATATATTAAAAGAAAAGGGGAAATTTTGACCTCACCACTGAGGTTAACAGAGAACGTTTGATTTGAGAAACGAACGACAAAAGTTCCGTAACGTCTGTTTGTATGCTAGTTTTGATCTGAAAAACATGTTTCGTTCAATAATTTAATGGATCTACCAGACTTGACCTTTTTTTTTTCTCTTGAGGTTTTGTTCGCCCCAATTACTCACTGTACAAGCGTTTGCTCCAGTTTGGTTTTACATGTTCACCATAGTTTTGATAATTTCCATCATATCTAACATAATTTTGACCTTCACACCACCCATTTTTCGGATTTTAAACATATGATGATCCAACCAACAATAATAGATCCTAATGAAATGGATTATGGTTACTTAAGTATAAGGTTTCAAATTCAAACCTGCGAAGGTAAAAAATATCTTCCAGAAAACTTCTCTTAATTAATTCTGACAATCCTCGAATTAGCCATATATAAGAGAAAAAATTGATGATCCATGCTTCTGAAATCAGTTTATGGTCTTACTTCTTCTTTTCTCTTTGTCATTGTTTTTGCAAAAAGATAATTCCTTTTTAAAGAAGCCCAGGTGCAAGCTTTATGCACATATATGAAGGGCGCAAACATCAAAGGCAGACACAGACATCATTGAATTAAATATTTCAAAATAAGCTAATAATAATACAACGCTTGAAGATCAGTTGTCCAAAAAGAAAAATAAAGATTAAACTAACAGGTTTCTTATGCAGAAACCCTGGTTCCAGTAAGTTCAACTTGTGTTACTGCTTCGTTTATAGCATCCATCACTTGTAGCTTTCCCCTACTCACTGCTTCATCCATGGGAGTCCGCTCATAACTGAACAGTAATATGAATTTGATTATTCAATTATTATTATTATTATTATTTTTTTTTGGGTGCCGGGATGGGGGGCAGATAACTAATGTTGATTAATGGTTATAAGGGCATAATAGACATTACATAAATAGGCCAGTGCAATGATTTAAACTCGATTTAAAACCCTTCAGACTCCCAAACTGGAATGTAACATACCTATTTAAAACACCAACATTAGCTCCTGACAGTATCAATTTCTTCACCACCTGTAGAATGTTTCTTGTTAACAAAATTGTGGACAGTGAAATCAACAAGGATATTCTACTAAGTAAAGATAGTAACTACCTCAACATGTCCATTGAGACAAGCCCAATGAAGTGGTGTATTCTTCTCTTCATTTGATGAATTAACATCCTGATAACACGAGCTTCATAACCTTAGATGTCATATTCCACCCCTTACAATTATAACGATCCTTGCCCAAATATAATGGATCTTAAGGAAGCAATCAAATATAAAATAAATATAAGCAGGTATGTAAGGAACCAAAGATATGCCGTTAAAAAGTTTATTTGCAAGTCACAAATAAGTGCAAAAGATGCCACAACTTCATGAGGTTAACTTGTAAGTCATGAAATGATGTATAAGCAGTGCAAAAATTCTACCATGATACACTTCTATTGGGTTTCCTAGGAAACAAATCAGCTGCTCCATCACTGGTCAACCCAACTCAAACTCAATGACTTTTGCTCAAATCCTTATGAAACAAGACCCAGTTGTGTAATTGTAAATGCAAGGCCTGATTACTTTCCAATTGCTACATTGGTGACGTCTAGGCTCAAAAATAATTGCGCAAGAATCTAAGTGGCGGTAAGAACCTAAAGCATCAATATCAATCAATATATATTACAAAAGTAACATCCACTTCCCCGTTGTGTTAATGCGTATGTTAAATTTGTAAATTTTAGGTCATGTCCCCCTTTTCTCTTCCAAACAACTTTTCTACCCATTAGAAAGGAAGTTTTCAAACCTGTGTGCATTGCTTGAAATTTTTTTGTTACTTTGGGCAAGCTTACAGAAGCAATACAGATCAAAAGGGACCACTAACATTAAGTAAATCCACAAACTCTAAAACATGATAGGTTAGAGCACATCTGGTTTTCAACGGGGCAAGGAAAATGAGGTTTTTACTACTACCCACTGTAATAACGATAGTTATTGTTCTCAACTGCAAATTAGTCATATGCATCATATTTCAAGCAACATTGACAACTTATCCACATAAACTCTGCAGCCCAAGTTCCAAACACGTTCAAATAGGTAACCTTTAGATAAGTAACAAATACATTCTCTGAATAGATAAATGAACAGGATAGAGTTCTTTTAAAAGACGAGTCTACATGGACTGCATACTAAAGTAACCTCGCTTAAGATAAGTAGGGTGTGATGTGAATAATGCCCAATGCTATCAATTAAAATAAAAAAGAATATTAAAAATGCAGTTTTCAGCCTTTGAAATTGGAGCTCTATTCATATCACAAGCTTTACAATTTTTCAACAACATAGTCCTTACATCCTATGAAATGTTTTATCCAAAATAACGAGCACAAGTCATTGAGAGATAATCAAAGGGCTAAGTGCACATGGAATATGAGTTAATAGCTATAGCTATAGGTGTTTCTTAATCATCAATGATGATGCTACGTAAAACACAATGTGACATCATAGAATTGTCCTGTGAACATGATAATGATCACTAAGACAACATGTTGACAGGATAAACAAATTAGGTACTCCAGAAGCCTTCTCTCAAATTTAAAAAATAAGCTATTTAAAGTTAAAATTTTCAAAAGAAGAAAATACATATTTGGGTAAAGAAAAAAGATTTCTTACCACTCCTCTACTGATTAAGTAGTCCACAATGTCAAGATGTCCATTGGCAGCGGCCATGTGAAGAGCTGAATTCAAACGTTAAGGAAGCAAAGTCAGAAACACATGCAAACGTTCATTCAGTGTGAGCAGTTTTTATTTGTTTGTTTTTTTTCCTTTTCAATAATTGTTAGTATATTGTACTCCAAAACTGTTATTTTCTTTTTTTCCCATGTGATGCTAAAATTCTCCTTGTTCCCAAGACATGGACATTTTCCATAAAAACTTCGCCGTCTCATCAGTTGCAACCTTTAAAATTTACCATTGCGACATAAACTCCATTTGTTCATCATTTTCAATTTAATGTACTCAACACTTGCTTCAATTGTATAATAAATTGTTCAAATGGAACTACTACCCAGAAAAAGTTACCAACCCGTTCTTCCTTGTGAATCCTTGGAATCAAGGGGAACACCAATAGAAGCTAGGCTCACAAGATCATCCATATCATCATATCGTGCAGCCTGTTAAACAAATAGAAGTTCAGATTGTTACATTCATTGCTGACGAATCAGCCTGTTTCATAATATAAGGGAACTTAACAATGAAGAAAAAGGAATTCTCAGTTTCTAACAATGAAGAAGGCGTGAGCAAGGCTAAGAGAAAGTAACTGATCAACGAAACTTACCTCTAGCAAGGCATCTATATTCTCCTCCGTCAATGCAGCTGAAGTATTCTGTGCTGTATTTGGCGCCTCCACTCCCATTGGCGACAGATCAAGCAGGAATAGCAAAAACAGATATTTTCCCCCACCTATACATTAAACAGAGCTTCATTTAAAGGGAGAGCGAAGAAGCATGTAAAGAGAGAAATTTACCTAAGTGATGATTCACGTGATAGATTGAAGGATGGAAGACGAGTACTAACAGGAGAATACGGTGAAAGGCTGAAAGCAGTGCCACGGAAGCTGGGGATACCGACGCCGACGACAGCAACGGGGACGGAACGGCGAGGACTGGAGCCAGGAGTGCGAAGAAGTATCGGGAATTTGGGGCCTCGGAATTTCTGAAGTGGCGGACGAAGAATGAGGATGATTAGGATCAGGATGATTTTAGGTTAAAATTAATTTTAATAAGAAGAAACATATGCGTAATAAGAAAATATTTTGTATTGAAAAATAAATAAATAATTTTCTTTTTCTTTGCCATAATAATAAAAACACACACACATGCATATATATTAGAAGCAAAAAGAAAGATTATAGTCTCTCCATATTTTCACTTTTTATATTTAAATTTAAATTGTTTTTAATTTTTTAATTTGAGGAGGAATAATCTAGTAATTTTCCTTTTATTTTCGATACCAGATTTTTTTTAATATTTTGCAGACTAACAAGAAATAGTTTATTCTTTTAAATATTCAGGTTTACTAACAAGAAATAGTTTATTCTTATTGGACCTGATATGAATTGGGCTGATCCAGACATAAGTTTGGAAGGCCCAAATAGAGTTCCCACGTAAATTCTCAGATGTATATAAGGATAACATAAGATAAAAGCATGGATCATGGTTGAAAGAATTCTATTATTATCGTTTAAACATGAGATCTCATGTTTAAAGTCATATAAATGCAAAAGATATCTCTAGGAAAACATTACCCAATTTGACTCGAAAATGTTTAAATTTAACTCAGTTAAATAACCATATAAAAAAAAGATCACAATATTTCTGCCCATGTTGCAGTTTTTTTTTTTTTTGGTCTACCAAATTTCTGGTATTTACCCTTCTTTTTTGAGAAGCAATTTACATTTTTATTCATAATTCATAAAAGTCACTCATCCGTTAAAAAATGTAAAGTATTTTTTTAAGGTTTGGGGGTTTAAAAGTGTTTCAAAGTGTAATCATTTTATATTTATTTTAAAGTGAAATATCCTTGTAAATAAAGATAAATATAAAAAAAAAGTAAAATTTGATTAAAAATATTGAACATTTTTTAATGGAGCAAGTATGATTTATTAGAGTTTTTTATATTATATTTATATTTATAGATTGAAGCCCAACTTGGTTTAAGCATAGTATGACAATAACGTTAAAAAATCACTATTATAAATGTAATAATATATAAAAAGTGTAGAATTATGCATTATTCATGACTTTTGAATAATACAACCTATTTTGGGCTGGGTACAAATATATAGGACCCAATTTAGTTTACATGTTAATTTAAAGTAGTAGCCAGCAACATGTGTCTTAATTTTTTGTTGACGAAACAATAGGATGAAGTAGGAGTGAGTGTAGGACATTGAGATAATAAATTCTAATTACAGTCACGAACTCTATGTTATAAAATACTTCTAATTATCTTATCAAAATTAAGAAGAGATAGTTAATTTATTGATGTTGTTTGAAATAGAAAAAAATAATTTCCCAATTTATCCTCATGAAGTGCACTATATTTGAAAATATTTTCTCTCTTCTGCTATAACCTTTTATTCTATACTCATTGAAAGTTGTGAAAAAAGTAAAATTAGAAGGAAGTAATTAATGATACATTTTTATGCAAATTGACTAAGACCAGAGCGAGTACACACCATACACTGAAAAAACAACAAATTTACTGCTTATATTTATTTTGAGCAAGTATTTTTTGCCTAGAGACACCCAAGCTATTATATCGTCTAAATTTCTTTATCTCGAATGATGTATGGATACATCATCAATTTGATGCATTTCAGATTTCAGCACTCACAATTAGATTTCAGAAATTGAACATCACCAAAATAATATTGGGAAGGTGGTAATTAACTTCCAAAATCTTCATTTTGTACATACAAGGCAAGAAATGAACAAATCGGTTCGAATCACAACTTCGTATCATATTGATTGCACAAAATTATGAACAAAACAAAGTAGTGGGAAACTAGTATTGACACATTCTATAACTGCATAAAGATATAGATCATGGCCAAGAATTGTGGAATTATATTAGAGTCAACTCTCAAGTTTCTATATTACGTTGTTATAATTAAACTAAGAAAAATGTTGTGGCCAGTCATCAAACAAATTGCATCACGTCGATCATTGATCCCAGAACTTATGAATAACACTTCATATCTATATCTCTGTGTATGTGTGTGTGTGTGTGTGTGTGTGTGTGTGTGTGAGACAAGATCTTTTGATCTATCAGTGTACAATTCTTCCCAAAAAAAATTATATATCATCATCTATAGATCTCTGTTCTGAAATCGATTCATATACATTTTTCTCTTTTTCTTTCCATTCTAAGCCCAAGAACCTGCATGGCGAAAACCTAACCTTGTACTCCGAAATGGTCTCAAGCTTGGGTGACCGATCATAGTGCTTCTTCAACTCGGGAGTACTACACAGAAAGCTATAGTTAATATCACCATTACGATCTGTTTCTTTGTCATTATTTCCATTAATAAGCCTCGTGATGAACTCTGGCTTCACCTTTATCAGAACCCTCCCATTGGAGCCCTTTATGTACTCAAAAGGACTAGGGTTCTCTCCAAACTTGATCGGACATGGTGACAACGACGACGGCTTACTGGTTTTATTAGGGCAAGTTGATGATGAACCTAGGGCTGCGAGCCATGCCGGCGAGAGGGCCTTGCATGCTGAACGATCTATGGGAAGAATGAAATAGGTTTGGCCTGGCATGAGCTCGTCGTCTATGGCTAACGACGGCACCGGGAGGCCCATGAAGAAGGAGTCAGCGTGGCATACCATCTTGTCCGGGAACTCGAACATGATCTCGCTAGCGACGTGTTTTCCCGTCAGGAACCTCGTCGTGCCTTCGCAGAAGACAAGTTTTATTGAAGAAGACGACGATGAAGTTGGGTTTTGCTGCACAAAACAAGGTGTCAAAACTGCATTTCCCATACCAGAAATTAGGGTACTGATCTGAAACTTCAGTTAGATCGATTTCTCAGTGGGGGGAGAGAGAGAGGGTTGTTGCAGAGAAAGGAGAGAGCAAGAAAAGGGTGTATATAGATGGAAATGTCGACGTTGAGAAAAAAAGGGGGAGGGATTGACTCTTATAAGGTCAAGGTTTGTTTTAGCATTCAAGGTTTCGTGTGGTCGGTGGTTTTGGTCAGCCATGGCGGTTTGAACATGTTGCTCAATCTGTCGCATTGCCCTCGTGGTACGGGGCTGCTTGCTTGTATCTATATGAGAAATACTTAAAATTCACGATCTGTGTAATTAAAATATTTCAAATAATTTCAAAAAAAATTATATAATATTTTGTAAATTAATTTTATTTTTATAACATAATGCACATTTGATTTTTTACTTTTTTCTATATTATCATTAATATTTAAATTAATTTATATTTAATACCATCTAAATGTAATATTTTTATTGAATAGACTTCAAATGATGTAGTATACCCAATCTACTTAAATATTTCTCATATCTATATATCCTATTGACAAATTCTTAGGTAAATTGGGCATGTCATATCATTTGTAATTTATTTAATAAAAACATGACATTCAGATAATATTAAATATAAATTGATTCTGATATTAATGATAATAGAGTCAAAAAAGGCACGAAATTAAATATAAATTTTGTAATAAGAATAAAATTAATTAAAATAATATCAACTAAAATTTTATTTAGATAAATTGGGGTATTCGAATTGGATAGACTATAAATAATGTATCGCACCCTATCTATAGCTACAAGAATTTCTCATATTCTATTACAGTTGCTCTAGACTAATAATTTGAATATTTTATAATCATATTTGTCTAATCCTACATTTCTAATGTTAATGTATATATCAATTTTGCAACATCCTAATTTTTTACTAATTAAAAACCTAACCTAAACAAATATAGTTGGCACACACAAAAAAAAAAATCCCAAGTTACTTATTCTTTTTAAGCTCAGGTGTAGCCATATAGTAAATTTAAATAGTAAGAGCTTTCAGTGAGAGTCTACAAAAAGGCACCCACACATAAAAATATTAATATATAATTTAAAATTACTAAAAAATTACCTTAAAGCAACTTTAAAGTTATTTAGGGTCTTAAAACTATATCGTAGAACTCAAAATATTCTTTGAAGTTTGTACATTTTTTTATAGATTAGTTTCGTTATAATTATATCTTTAATAATTTTTGTATGATTTAAAGTCTCTATTTATCTCAAACATTTATTTTAAGTATCAAACCTTATAAAAAATTTATATCTAAAAATTAAACTTTTTAAAAACTCAAAATAGATCGCAAATATTTTTAGAGTAACTTTTGATCAACAAAAAGACCCGAAACTTCTAAATACATCACCCTCTAAATTTTTCATCTTCTTGAAACTAAAAACTAAAAAAATTAAAACACTTACATCATTTTATAAATCTTCAAAGCGCCTTGAAATACTCTCTCCATTAAAAAATATAAGGTATTTTTTGAGGAGTTGGATATTAAAAAATGTAAGATATTTTTAATCTCTCAAAGTGTAATCATTATTTTTTTTCAAAAGTGTCGCTATTGATAGTAATTTTATATTTATTATAAATATTTAATAAAAATAAATATAAAAAGATAAAAATAATTTAAAAATAAATAATTATTTTATTAAAAAATAAAATTAAATTATATTTTAATCAAAAAGAGTATATGATTATGCTAGTTCTATCCTTCCTCACCGCCCCCGGCCCTGGCTCTGTCTCTCTCACATGCTCACTTGTTGCCGGCGGCTGGAAAAAATGTGTTGTGCGTGCGTACGTGATGACTTGGGCAATTATTTTAGGGGTAAAAGGGAGTGGGTCATGGGCCCACAGCCAAGGCCGCCTTTTTTTTTTTTTTAAATTTTCATTTTATAATTGCACACACTATATTATCAACACACACACACACAGACGGGAAGAGGGTGTCTCCATTTCTCTTTCCTCCATTTCCCTTCATTTCTCTCCCATCACCTTTAGATCAAAAATTTAACGGTTCAGATTGAGGCTTTAATAAAATTATTATTTTATTTTATAAAAAGGTGTATAATAAATTTAAATTATTAAAGTTTAATCTAAATCATTTAAAACTATAATATTTTATTTATATATTTTATATAAAATTAAAATAACAATTTTTTTTAAAATTAAATCTGAACCATTGAAAAGGGTTAATCCAAAGGTGATGGGAGAGAAATGGAGAGAAATGGAGGAAAGAGAAATGGAGACACCCTCTTCCCCACAGAGACGCTCTTACACACACGTTCTGACACACACGTACATTTATATATTTTCCTTTTCTTTTCTTTTTATTTATTTATACGCACGTACATTTAAATATTTTTCTTTTCTTTCTTTCTCTATAATTAATTTTTATCTCCTTTCTTTTTAATATATTAAATGATGGATATTTTTAAAAATTTATATTTTTATTTAAAAAAAATAAAGTTGTCAAGTGTATTTAATGAGGTTTATTAGTATGTGAGATTTTATCTAAAAGTATCTTATAATTTAGGATAGAGGGAGTATTTTATATTACAATTTAAAATTATAAATAAATATATTTATTTATTTTCAATCTTTCATGCACTTGCTTATATTATTGTTATTATTATTATTATTGCTCAAAGATAGATTCTTATAATTTATTCTATTTTAGATAAATTTTCTTTTAAAAAAAAATTATTTTACTCTTTCTAAATTCTTAATCTTCAATAAATGTTCAATAATTTCTTATGTATCAAAATTCCCTTCCTACACATTGAAATTTTTTACAATTAATTTATTACCTAGAGATTAAAATATCAAATGTTACGGTTCTTCTTTTCTTTTAAAAATTTTACCCCCAAAATTTAACATCATTATCAATATAGAAAACTTTTTTTTAATAACTTTTCACACTATCTCTCAAAATTATCTATTATTTCTTTTGTTATTAATAACTCCCCTAATCCTACAGCCTTACTTTGTGATCCCAAAAATTTAACTCTTACCCTTTTGATCTTTTTCTAATTCTAAGATTGTAGTACACCAGATTCTAAGCATATTTCATCCTCAGTCCTAAAAAAAAAAAAAAGGTAATATCACAACAATCATTCATATCACTACATAGTTAATAATAAAACAACTTACAAATTGAAACGGTAGCATTTATCGTAGAATACGTTTATTTTCATTACATATTCTGGTTTACCCTATTATTCTAGTATGTTTAGAAGGGTTAAATATTAATTTGAACCCTAAACTATAGGTTCAAGGGTGATTTGAGCTGTAAACTCTAAAAAAATATATTTTGAACCCTAAACAATTAAAATTGGGGGCAATTTCACTCCTACCATTAACTTTCAATAAACGGCCGTTAAATTCATTTAAAAAAATTATACTTTAGGTCTCAATTTGATAGACATTTATTTAGAGTTCAAAATGCATATTTTTAAAAGCTTAGGATTTAAATCACCTATGGACCTATAATTCAGTATCCAAATTGCATATTAACCCTTGATATTGTTACAAATTTCCTAGGATATGAGATCGAAGAAGGAATTAAAAAAGGATAAAGGGACAAAAATACCTACAAAGTGATGAGCCATGGACACCCAGTATTCTAAAGTGAGAAAAAGGATAAAAATACCTTAACATTACATGAGTGGGTGCAAAAGTAACTAGACAATTAACTTTGACCTAACGCCGTTAACTTTGACGTTTTAATGCTGACCGTGCATGCCACGTGTCAATTTTTGCTGATGTTAACTAATAAAAGGGCAAAAATACCCACAAACTAGTAAAAATACACATGAAGTTGTAGGCCAGGAGTAAAAATATCCATAACATTACCAGAGTTTGTGCAAAGGTGACTAATTTGTTCAATCCTTTAAATCTTGACCGTTTAGCTGATACTTAAGTAGAAGTTAATTTTTTTGGTTGATATAAACAAAAAATATTTCCATATGAATTTTTATGGATGTTGATCGATCATCGTATGAGTATTCATTATGTTACGTTAGTAGGTGCAATAGTGACTAATTCGTTAAAATCAGTGCCACATGTTTCTTTCCATCGCCTCGTATCTTGCCCCCTTCCTTTCTCCCTCTCTACTTATTTTTCTTGTCTACAAAACCTAAGATTCAATATAGTGAGATAGGTTGTACAAAATTAAAAATCGAGACTGAAAACAACTAGCTGAAAAATATTGTCACAATCTTAAGCAATTGCATTCATGATATGTTCAAAAATTTCAAATGGTTTTCATTACTGCTACAAAAAAACAAGCAATTTAATTTGATATTCAATTAAAAAAATATTTTCTCACATGATATTTATACAATAATTGATTAACCTTCAAAGAATTTTCATTTGGGAATATTTTTTGTCTGCATTAATGAAAAAATAATCAACTTTTACTTATATATCAGCTAAACGGTCAACATTTAAGAGATTGGACAGATTGATTACTTTTGTACTAACTCTAGTAATCTTATGGATATTTTTGCTTCTGGACTAGGACTTCGTGGGTATTTTTCTCCTTTATTAGTCTATGTTAGCAAAGACTGATATACGGCATGCACAGTCAATATTTAACGATTAAAGTTAATGACATTAAGTCAAAATTAATAGTTTGGTTAGTTTTGCACCCACTCATGTAATATTATGGGTATTTTTTATCATTTTTCTCACTTTAGGATATTAGGTGCCCATGGTTGACTACTTTATAGGTATTTTTTTCCCTTTATCCATTAAAAAAAGGTAAATGATGATGATGATGATGATGAAACTATATAAAAGAAGGTTGTAAATTGTAATAATGAGTAAAGAAGTTTTTGGTGGAAATTATGTTGGGTATGAATGAGATAGTGTTGAGTTAGGTAGGTATGAATGAGTGATTTTTGTTGGGTGGAGTTTTGATAGGCAATCAGTGGTAGTAATAGGA